TCATCATAATCATCATCAGCATCATCATCAATCTCACTGTCAACATCATCATAATATTCTTCCTCCTCCTCCTCCTCCTCCTCCTCCTCCTCCTCCTCATCATCATCATCATCATCATCATCATCATCATCATCATCATCATCATCGTCGTCGTCAACTTCATAATAGTCGTCATCATCGTCATCATTTTCGTCACCGTCGTCTCCGAAGCTCCCCCGCCGAACTCGAGGATATCTCCGCAGCGTCTTGCATGCCGCGTGAGCAGTATTGGGGATTTAGGTTGTGGGCCGGAGGCCGCCCTGCATAATCATCATTGTCATTATCACCAGCGTCTGGAAGCCTTGCGGGGCCCTTTCGGCGCCTTTTGGAGGCCTCTTGGAGCTTCCTGGGGGCCTCTCGAGGCCTCTTGCGGACTCCTGGGGGCCGCCTCTTGGGAGCTTCTGGTGGGCGAGGGCTCGAAATGTCAGTTCGTGTTCCCCATCTGGGGCTCCTCTTGGAGTGTTCTGGGAGCTCTTTTGGGCCGTCTTGGAAGCTTCCTAGGCCGTCTTGGGGCCCTCTTGGGCTGTCTCGGTGGTCTCTTGGGGGCCTCTGGGCTCCTCTTGAGGCGATCTTTCGGGCCTCTTGGGCCGCCTTGGAGCGTCTGGAAGCCAAACTGGGGAGAACGCCAAAACCCTTCAAAACCCATTAAAAATCAGTGACAATTTCCTATTGGGCCCCTCCCTGGGACGCTTTGGCAGCTTTTTAACCGTCTTGGAGTGCTCCCGGGCCGCTTCGGACTTCTCTTGGGCTGTCCTGAGGGCGTCCTGGAGCCACTTTAGAGGGTCCTGGGAGCGTCCTGGCGTCTCCGGCGGGGGGGTGACCACAGCCACTGGGCAGAGTAAGGCCCCCCCCCTGGTCCAGGACCTCCTCCCCGATTATATATCTATATCTATATATAATATATATATATACACATACATACATACATACATACATACATACATACATACATACATACATACATACATACATACATACATACATACATACATACATACACACATACATTCACACATACATACATACATACATACATACATACATACATACATACATACATACATACATACATACATACATACATACATGCATGCATGCATGCATACATACATACATACATACATACATACATACATACATACATACACGCGCGCGCTTCGCGCGCGCGCTTAGGTTCTGTCGAGTCACAGACCCAGGAATCGTTGTGAGAAGAAATTGGTGACGCGAAGCGTCGTGGGGGCGTCCTTGGACGTCTGGGGTCTCCTGGGGCCTCTTGAGGGGCCTCCTGGGGGCCTCCTGGCGGCCTCTTGGGGCGGAAGGCTCGAGCTTGCGGTTCGTGGTCCCCCTCTGGGCCCCCTCTTGGGCCCGTCTTGGGGCCCTCTTGGGCCATCTTGGGCGCCTCTTGGGCCGTCTTGGGGCCCTCTTGGGCTGTCCTGGGGCCCTCTTGGAAGCTTCTTGGGCCGTCTTGGGGCGGTCTTGGGCGCCTCTTGGGCCGTCCTGTAACGTCGGAAAGCCCAAAAGACAACTTTGTTGAAAATGTACGTTTTACGAAGGGAATGGGCCAATTTTTGCGTCTAGGGGCCCTCTTGGGACGCATGTTGGAGGCTTCTTGGGGCCTCTTGGGGGCGTCCTTGGACGTCTGGGGTCTCCTGGGGCCTCTTGAGGGGCCTCCTGGGGGCCTCCTGGCGGCCTCTTGGGGCGGAAGGCTCGAGCTTGCGGTTCGTGGTCCCCCTCTGGGCCCCCTCTTGGGCCCGTCTTGGGGCCCTCTTGGGCCATCTTGGGCGCCTCTTGGGCCGTCTTGGGGCCCTCTTGGGCTGTCCTGGGGCCCTCTTGGAAGCTTCATGGGCCGTCTTGGGGCGGTCTTGGGCGCCTCTTGGGCCGTCCTGTAACGTCGGAAAGCCCAAAAGACAACTTTGTTGAAAATGTACGTTTTACGAAGGGAATGGGCCAATTTTTGCGTCTAGGGGCCCTCTTGGGACGCATGTTGGAGGCTTCTTGGGGCTCTTGGGGGCGTCCTTGGACGTCTGGGGTCTCCTGGGGCCTCTTGAGGGGCCTCCTGGGGGCCTCCTGGCGGCCTCTTGGGGCGGAAGGCTCGAGCTTGCGGTTCGTGGTCCCCCTCTGGGCCCCCTCTTGGGCCCGTCTTGGGGCCCTCTTGGGCCATCTTGGGCGCCTCTTGGGCCGTCTTGGGGCCCTCTTGGGCTGTCCTGGGGCCCTCTTGGAAGCTTCTTGGGCCGTCTTGGGGCGGTCTTGGGCGCCTCTTGGGCCGTCCTGTAACGTCGGAAAGCCCAAAAGACAACTTTGTGAAAAATGTACATTTTACGAAGGGAATGGGCCAATTTTTGCGTCTATGGGCCCTCTTGGGACGCATGTTGGAGGCTTCTTGGGGCCTTTTGGGGGCGTCCTTGGACGTCTGGAGGTCATCTTCAGCATCTCGGAGCCCTCTTGGAGGCCTCTTGGAAGTTTCTTGGGCCGTCTTGGGCGCTCCTGGGGCTGTCTTGTCTGACCGGGGAGGCCTCCGGCAAGCTCCGACGAGCCTCCGGGCCCCCCGGAGCCCACATTTGCGGTCGGGGTCCCGGCCCCGGGCCCCCGGACCCGGTGCGCCGTTATATGTATATCCATCGCCTGTGGAGGTCCGTGAAGATCATTCCCCCCAGCGGTGGTTGTGGATAAACCCCCGCCTCGGATTCAAACCTCGACTGCTATTCGTTGGCCCTCGTGGAAGGTCAGGGAAGCGGGACTAACCAAGATCAAGCAAACTTCGGGCGGATTGGGCAGGGTGAAGCCGGGCTGAACCCGACTTCGGACCGGGGCAGAATCAGAATTTGACACCCCAAGCTGGCCATCGCTCGGACGTCCATTCCCTGTGCTTTTTTCTGTTTCGTGCGTGGTTTCTTTCGCCAAATGATCAAGAATGTTCTTCGATGGTCCTCGCCGAAGGAAAAAATGCACACGTCCGAGCGATGCCGAGCAAGGAGTTGCATGCGAAGCAGGGGGGGGGGCTCGCTGGGAGGCCGCAGGGCGAGCGGGGAGGCTGAGGGGCTCGCTAACATGGACTACGGATTCCTGGATCTGGCGCGTGGGCGCATCTTTTAACCGATCCCCATCCCCAGCGGCGTGGCCTGGGCCCCGCTGGCCGATTTGCCCCCCTAGATGGGGATATAGGTCGTTCTCGTCGGGTTTCGAGGGGTGCATGCCCAACTGGGGTGGTAATTCGGTGGGGGTGATCGGGGGTCGATGCGCCCACCATGTGCTCAAGTCGGGCTCGTCCCCCTACGGGAGGAAGATTCGAAAATAGTAAAAAAAAAAAAAAAGCCCGGGGAGGATGTTTGAATCTGTTTTGGAGAGTGTGGGAATCTGTTTGACTATGTTTGTAAGTTTCGTCCAAAATCCGCCTGCAGGGGGACACGCCCGACCTAACCCTATGCCTATCGCCCCCTGTCGTTGCCCCTGATCTCACGCCCAAGAGCCGATGGAGGCAGTCTGGCTTCGACCGCCACCCTCCCCAGTTAAGGGAGCCCCAGGCGGCCCGGCGCACAGAAACGTCGGGGAGACGTAAGACTCGGGTCATTGGGGCTCGGGTTGGCCCGACGGGGCCATCATGAACATGACGCGCCCCAATGTGAAATTTGACGCGGACTCCCGCTGCAAACACACCACACATACTGGACCGTGAAAACACGAGGACGGGCTCGTCAAAAAGCGTAGGCAAACCCGAAGTCGGGCGTACTCGAGTCTTACGTTTCCCCGAAAACAAGAACGCATGCTTAAACTCGCGGGCATAACGGGGGGGGGACAGGAGTGGGCATGCGCACACCCACCCACCCCGAAGTCTGTGGTGCCGACACACCGTGGCAGTGCCAGGGACGCACTGAGGGGGAGTGTTGCGTTCTGGGGGGGGAGGGGAGGTTCTGGACCCCGACCTCCACGCTTTCGGGCACCCTCCAAAAGGGCCCAGGGACGCTCAAGTGAATAGACACACACATCCCAGGATTCCGCATCGTTTCTACTATCTTTCGAGTTTTCGTCTTCCCCCCCCAATGCACAGATTCTCCCCATATGTTCCTGGGAATCGAAAGGTCACTGCGTCTGCATGTGTTGTTGTCCCTCCTAGTCCTCGTGGGTCTCCGAAGGCTTGCCAGACTCAGGGTAGGTTCTGGCAACTGTGCCTCGCCGAAGATGTTCCGTGGGTGCCCGACTCGTTCCGAAATAGCAAGAGCAAAAGGGAGGAGGACAAGGAGGAGGAGGAGGAGGAGGACGAAGAAGAGGAGGAGGGGAGAGAGGGAAGGGGAGGCGCAGGAGAGAGGAGGGAATACGGGGAGGGTGGGAGCAAGAAGAAGCCAAGGGATGGGGAGGAGGAAGGACAAGGAGAGAACTGCGACGGTGACGACGAATCGTAACAAGAAGAGCACGAGCAACAAAAAAATAGCAAGAAGACTGGGCGTTGAAGAGCAACTTATACCCCATAGACATCAGCATTCGGAGGTCCTCGCTGGATCGGGGCTGGGCCCCCTCCGCGGCGCGCGGGGCGCGCCAGGGGCGGCGCCGGAGGCGCCGCCAGCGCCGATCCAAACATGCACGCGAAGCTCCAAAGTTTATGAGTTTGCCCTTTGTCTTCCTCGACGTGAGAAAAGCGAGAGGACCAGGGCGGCGGAACGAGAGGACCAGGGCGGCGGCAACGAGCGGCGAACACATCTGCATCCGCGGCATCGCGGTCTGGACTCTGGGGCGCGATCCCGCGGATACGGATACGCTTCCGACCACGAGCTCGCCCGAAAAATGCGTACACGATGACCGAAAGTCTTTGGGGGGTGGGCGGGGTCCTGGTCGTGGATTTGGTATCAAAAAGTTCCCTCCCTGGGGCGCCGTTGTTGTGTACTGACGGTGGCCCCGTGGGGTGGATTCTGACTGGGGTGGGGGAGGTGCGGTAGACAAAACCAGACTCGAGGGACGATGCGGCACTCCTTGTCCATGGCGTTCAGGAGCAGCAGCACGTCGCGGAAGGCCATGGACAGCCCGAAGTGGCCGAGGCCCGCTTCGAGCTCCTCCGCCGTGACCTCGGGCGGTCAGGCGCGCTCGGGCCCGGAGCACGGGGGGGGAGAAGGAGAAGAGGGGCGAGACGAGGCACGTCAGCTCTCCCTCCACCAGGCGACGCGCGCGGCACGACGTGGCACACGAGGCGCACCGGCTGCGCAGGAGCTGCACCAGCTGCGCAACGGCGTGCGATCGGGCCCACGCCATGGCACCCCCAACGATGGCAGGAGATGGCGAAGAAGGCAAGCCAAGGCACAACACGCACAACACGCACACGCACACACACACACACAAACACACACACACACACACACACGCACGCACGCACGCACGCACGCACGCACACGCACACGCACGCACACGCACACGCACACACACACACACACGCACACGCACACGCACACACACACGCACACACACACACACACGCACACGCACACACAAACACACACACACACACGCACGCAAGCACGCACGCTCGCACGGACGCACGCACGCACGCACAGCCACACACAAACATGAACACACACACACACACACACGCGCGCGCGCGCAAACACGCACGCACGAAGGCACGCACGCACGCGCGCACAGCCACACACACACACACCACACACACACACACCACACCACACACACCACACAGACCGCACAGACCAAACATACCACACACACTCTGTTGTACTTCAGCGGCAGGGTGACGTCACTACATCGAGAGCTAAGGCGGGGCACGCTTAGCGTCAATTCCACCTGCCGTTGCATATGGAAGGACTACGCAAGGCGAATCTCGTACAGGAGAAGGTGGCTGCGCCAGAGGAGCCCAACGCACACGCACACACACACACAACATACACAGCACACACAAACGTGTTCCTCGAACGCTCTGGCGAATGTACTCAGCGGATCGAGTGAGATCAAGGCGGGTAGCGCTCGAAAGAAAAATCAATGTGTGCGGGGGCGTGAACCAACGCAGACACACACACACACACACACACGCGCAGCGACAGGGCTTCCAACATCAGAGAAGAGAACGCGCGCGCGCGACTAACGGCTGAGCCCTCAAGCCGCACAGAACGCTCACACACAGCCACCGTCACACACACGCATGCACAACACACAGGATTCAGACTCACACACACACACACATACATACATACATACATGCATGCATACAGACAGACAGACAGACAGACAGACAGACAGACAGACAGACAGACAGACATACATACATACGTACATACATACGTATCTATATACATAAACATATATATATATATGTGTATACACACATGCACCCACATAAACACATACGCCTATATATACACACAGAACACGGACACACACTCTTGGGAACATACAGCTTTCCCCTTGCAGGTGGGCGGCGGCGGCACATGCACCAGGCGGGAGGAGACGGGAAGAGGAATGGCGCGTTGGGCGGCTGGATAGCCGCTCTCGGGGGTCTACTGACCCGGGTGAAACCAGACCGGGGCCAGTCGGGCTTTGCAAGATCCCGCAGAATCCTGCAGGATGCCGCACCCGAACCTGTGTCAGTGCAACCCTGGGTCTGCAGGACCCTGCAAGATCCAGCGCTCTGGCTGACGCCCGTTTGACCCCCGTTCCCTTGAGACCCAACGCTCAGCGCACACCCATCTGACGGCAGGCATCGGGAGGCGTTCGCAGCGAGCGGGCAGACTGCGGGCGGGTGGCGCTGAGAGCTAACTGCGCCCACGCAAGAGAGCAGAACGGGGGGACAGGACGCACAAGGACATACTGTTACGCTGTGTCCTCCCTCGAGGCGTGCGTCCGACCCGAACGTCTAGTATAACCATCGTGTAGTAGATCGTTCCCCGAGCGGTACGGCCAGAAAGCGCCCGCCACGACGCCATGTACTGTAAGATTTCACGGTGCGCGCGTCACCCATAGGGGGGGCGACACACACACATAGTACTAGTATGTTGGGCTGACGCCGAGACGAGTGCCCGCGAGGAATGGACGCCCGACGGGCAGGCAGGGGCTGCGCCCCAGTGCAGGTGCGACTCGGTGCGCCGCGCTCGCCCAGGCAACATGCATTGCGGGGCCGGGGGCGCGGACCACCGTCTCTGCCCAAGAGGCCTCCAAGACGCCCAAGATGGCCTCCAAGACGGCCCTGGAGCACCCCAAGGAGGGCCCCAAGTTGGCCCAGAGAGGCCCCCAAGACGGCTTCCGACGGAGTCAAACGGGCCAGGAATGCCCCGAGACAGCCAAGGTCCCCGAGAAGCCCACTGGCTCAGCGCACCCCGCGCACACCGATTTTGGGGACAGGCGAGGCCCCCCGAAGATGCAGCGTAAAAGATGCACTGCGAGGCCGGGGGCGGGAACTAACGTCTCTCACTGGCTCAGCGCACCCGCGCGGGGGCGCCTTCCCGAGACAGAGCCGCACGCCTGGGGCTGGACGGGGCAGCTGCCTTCACGCTCTGGCCGGCACGCGGCGGGACGCACAGCGCCCGCGAGCCAGGGCACCGAAGAGCCAGGGACGCACACCAATACTAGGCGGCCACATGCGAACCCTGCCCCACCTTCCCCCCTTAGAAATCGTGGGGGGGAGGGGCAGGGTTCGCATGTGGCCGCCGAAATACACACTCGTTTCGGCGGCGAGCTCAGGAGGGGGGAAGCGAGAAGGGGCGGGCCTTCTCAGACGGCTCGGAAGTTTCCCCGGGCCCACGGGGAAGCTTCCTAAGCCGTCCCCGAGGGCACGGGGCACTTCTCGGGAGGCGCGAGGGCTTCTGCGAAGTCCCGCCGCCTTCTCAGTAGGCCTTCTGCTTCTCATCTCCTCCCCTCGCTCGCCGCCGTTCCTCACGTCATGGGTGTCGCAGGCCTAGAGGTTGACACCAACACCAAGATCGGCGGTGCGCCTCCACCGAGGGAAGACGATCCCGATCTCGGTGATGGTGGTAATAGTCTGGCTTCCAAGGTGACCGAAATATGACCACCAACACCGACATCTAGGATCATCTTCCCCCTGTGGAGGCAACCCCCTGTGTTGGTGTTGGTGCCCACTTCCAGGCCTCCAAGGGTGCAGATCTTCTTGAGGTCGTGAGCGCGTCCGACGCGAGCCAGCCGCCGAGGGGGAGCCGCGGAGCGGCAGTGCCGTGCGGGGGGAGCGCGAGCGCCCGAGCAGCAGCAGCGGCTGCTGCTGCAGCAGCCGCAGCAGAAGGAGGGGCGGGCGCCAGAGGACGCAGGGGTGCGGGCGGCGCGGGATGGGACTCCGACGGCCCGCCGATTGGAAAAACACACACGCTGTTGGAAAACACACAAAAAAACGCAAGCACACACACACACGCACGCACGCACCCACACGCACACGCACCCGCGCACACACACGCACACACACACCACGCACACACGCACACACACACACACACACACACACACACACACACACACACACACACACACACACACACACACACACACACACACACACACACACTGTGTGTGTTTTTGTCCAACAGTGTGTTTTTTCCCAACGAGCCTGCGGACGCTGCAGTTCGGTGGCTCCAAGATGGGGTCCTGAAGGATGGGGGCCGATGGATGGGAAGGGCTCCAAGGGTGGATTTGCAGCGATTGAGGCACCTCTTCCTTAGGGCCCCATCCACCAGGACCCCATCCTTGAACCACCGAGCAATCGAACCTGGGACAGAAGAGCGTCCCTCCAGAGCACGAGACCCTACACCGGCCAGAGCGCACAGAGCATCCACGGGTGCCCTCCCCAGGGTGCATAGGAACATCCAACCAGCACGAAAAACATCAGGGTATCCTCGCTCCCCGAGCCGACCTCGATCTTATGCCTCGGTCCGACTCTGGCGCGGGAGGCTGCAGGAGCGCAAGTGGAGCAAGACCGCCGATGTGTAACCGACCCTCAGTACGACCTGAAGGCCAAACACGCCGACGTACGTGAGAAGGTGAGCAGGCCAGAGGCAGTGCTCTCTGGTGCGAGACATGGTGCCTTTTGGCGGCGAGCGGGGGGGGGGGAAATGAGAAGGAGAAGCCCTCTCCTCGCGCAAGATCGCCCAAAAGGCACCCAAGAGGGCCCCATGACGGCCCAAGTGGCCCCCAAGACGGCCCCAAGACGGCCCAAGAGGCCTCCAACACGCCCAAGATGGCCTCCAAGACGCCCAAGATGGCCTCCAAGACGGCCCCGAAGCGCCCCAAGAGGGCCCCCAGTCGGCCCAGAAAGTCCCCCAAGACGGCTCCCGACGGAGTCAGACGTGCCAGGAACCCACCAAGACGGCCCAAGAGGCCCCCAAGAGGGCCTCCAGGAAGGCCAGAAGAGGCCCAAAACACTGATTTTCCGAAGGTTGTTGACTTGTTGACTGATGTTGGCATTTCCTTCTCTTCGGCCTTCCGACGGCCCGAGACGGCCCAAGAGCCCCCAAAGATCGCCGAAAGATCGCCCAAGATGCCTCCAAGATGGCCCCAGAACGGCCCAAGAGGGCCCCAAGACAGCCCCAAGAGGCCCCCAAGACGGCACATGTCACAAGAGGCCTTGAAGACGCCCAAGATGGCCTCCAAGACGGCCCTGGTGCATTCCAAGACGGCCCCAAGTCGGCCCGTACAGGCCCCCCAAACGGCTTCCGACGGCGTCAGACGGACCAGGAGCCCACCAAGACGGCCGAACATGGCCCTAAGATGGCCCAAGACGGCCCAAGAGGCCTCCAAGAGGGCCTCCAGGAAGGCCCGAAAAGGCCAAAATCATTGATTTCCCATGGGTTTCTGAAAGATTGTGGCATTTGCTTTTGTCTGCCTTCCGACGGCCCGAGACGGCCCAAGTGCCCCCAAAGATCGCCCAAGAGGCCCAAGACACGGCCCCAAGAGGCCCCCAAGACGGCCCAAGAGGTCTTGAAGACGCTCAAGATGGCCTCCAAGACGGTCCAAGAGCCCTCCAAGACGTCCTCCAAGAAGGCCCGAAAGGGTCAAAATGGCCTCCAGACAGCCAAGATGACCTTCAAGATGCCCACATGTTCCCCGAAGGCTTTCCAAACCGACTCGGGGAACACATGGTCCGATAGCTTGGCAAGTCTGACCTCAACGTTCGGCCACATAGGCGCTTCCAAAAAGGCAGGGGGCGGCGGTGATTCGCCGTAGGCGTCTTCGATCCGCCGCCCCCTGTTGATTCATCACAGGGGTGCCTGGCGTGTTAGACCCTCTCGGTTTTGATTTTGGTTCTTTTTTCAGAAGAACTCCCCCAGGGCCTTCGGCGCGTCCCGCCAGGGTCCCGGGAGGCTCTTCCGGAGATGGTTGCCGTGGGTTTTCCTGCCCCAGACGGCTCCAAGATGGCCCAAGATGGCCTCCAAAATGCTTCCAAGACGGCCAAGATGGCCTCCAAGACGGCTAAGATGGCCCCAAGATGCCTCGAAGACGGCCCAAGATGCACCCAAGACGGCCTAAGTTGGCCTCAAGATGGCCCAAGACAGCCCAAGAGGCCCCGAAGAGGCCTCCAAGACGGCCCAAGAGGCCTCCAAGAGGTCCTCCAGGAAGACCCGAAGAGGCCAAAATCATTAATATCCCTTAGGTATTTTTTTTTCAAAGATTTTGGCATTTCCGCCTTTCAGACTGTCCGACGGCCCCAGACGGCCCAAGATCGCCCCAAGATCGCCCAAGAGGCCTCCAAGATGGCCCCATGACGGCCCAAAAGGCCCCCAAGAGGGCCCCCAAAGGGCTCCAAGACGGTCCGAGAGGGCTCCAAGACGCCCAAGATGGCCTCCAAGACGCCCAAGATGGTCCAATATGGCCTCCAAGATGCCTCCAAGACGGGCAAGATGTCCTCCAAGACGGCTACGATGGCCCCACAATGCCTCCAAGACGGCCCAAGATGCGCCCAAGACGGCCTTAGATGAGCCCAAGAGGCAGCCATGAGGCCTCCAAGACGGGCATCGCCATCATCATCGTCATCACCACCAAAAACAAACATCAACATCATCGTCAGCATCACAACCACCACCAGCATCCGCCTTTACCTCTTCCTCCTCCTCATCATCATCACCGAGGGCGCGCCGCTGGATAACCCCAAGGGGGGGGACCCCCCCTTCGCTTTTCCCCGATCCGGCGTCGGGGACCCCCCCACCGTCTCCCCCCCTTTCCCGGTCCGTCGTCGGGGAACCCTGTCCCCCCTCCCCCCCCTTTCCCAGTCCGTCGTTGGGCCCCCCCCCCCTTTCAAAAGGGGGAGGGGGGGGGTCCGACCCCCCCCCCCGTCCCCCCGCTTGGCCGCCAAATTCGTACCCCCCCCTCCCCCCGCGTCCGTTTCGCCACGGCGCCCCCTGGTTCCGAAACCCGACCCCTCCCACCCCTACCACTACCACCCCGACCACACGCAACCCGAACCCCAAACCAGAACCCGAACCCCAAACAATTTCTTGCACTCGTTAATCACTATTCACTACCCACTACTCACTACTGGCTACCCACTACTCACTTCTCACTCGTCGCTGCTCACTACTCACGACTCACTACTTACTACCCACTACTCACTACCAATACCCACTACTCACTACTCACTACTCACGACTCACTACTCCCAACTCACTACTCAATACTCACTATCCACTACCCACTACGCGATACACACTACTCACTAAACGCCACTACCCACTACTCATTAATCACTCATCATTGCCAACTAGCCAATATCCACTACTCACTACTGAATACGCACGATTCACTACTCACTACTCACTGCCCACAACTCACTACTCACTATCCGCTGCTCGCTACTCGCTACTCCCTACTCCTTACACAGTACTCACTGCTCACTGCTCACTACTCACTACCCGCTACTCCCTACTCGCAACTCGCTACCCGATACACAATGCTCACACACTACGCACTACTCACAACTCAATACTCACTACTCCCTACTCGCTAGTCAAACGTTACTACGAACTACTCGCTACTCAGTACCCACTACTCACCACTCACGACTCACTACTCACTACTCTACTCGCTACTCCCTACGCACTACCCACTACTCACTTCGCACTTCTCCCTGCCCACTACTCAGTAATCACGACTCCCTACCCACTACTCACTACTCACTACTCGCTACTTCCTACTCGCTACCCACTACTCACTACTTCCTACTCGCTACCCACTACTCCCTCGTCTCCTCACTACGCACTACTCACAATGCCATACCCGCTACTCACTATTCACTACTCACTAATCACTACTCTACTCACTAATCACTACTCGCTACTCCCTACTCACTACTCACTACTCATACTACCCACTCCCCACTACCCACCACTCACTGCGCACTACTCACTACTCACTACTCGCAGCGCACTACTCCCTGGTCACTCCGCACTACTCACTGTTCACTACTCGCTACTATACACCCACTATTCACTATTCACTACTCACTACTCACTACCCACTACTCACTAGTCTCTACTCACTACTCACTACTCACTACTCACTGTCCCGAGGCCAGACCCCCACCCTTGCGGGAGAGACCCCCTCCCTGGCCCCCTGTTCGGCGCAAAGGGGGGGAGAGGGGGGTGGGGTCTGGACCCCCCCCCCCTTCAAGGGGAGGGGAGGGGGGGGTCGGACCTCCCCCCCTTAAGGGGGGGAGGGGGGGGGGTCGCAAATCTCACCCCCCCTTTGAAGGAGGGGAGGGGGGGGGTTCTGAAAAAAAAACCCTTTTGTATATTCAGGGTCATCCACTGGCGCGCTTTCCTCGTCACCATCACCATCACCATCACCATCATCATCATCATCATCATCATCATCATCATCATCATCATCATCATCATCATCATCAGCATCATCATCATCATCATCATCAGCATCAGCATCAGCATCAGCATCATCATCATCATCATCATCATCATCATCATCACCATCACCATCATCATCATTTTCATCATCATCATCATCATCATCATCAGCATCAGCATGAGTATCATCATCATCAACAACAACATCATCATCATCATCATTATCATCATCGTCGTCGTCATCATCACCATCACCATCACTATCATCATCAGCAGCAATAGCATCCGCAGCAGCAGCATCAGCATCACCATGAGCATCAGCATGATCATCGCTACAATTATCATCAGCATCATCAATATCATCAGCATCAGCATCAGCATCAGCATCAGCATCAGCATCAGCATCAGCATCAGCATCATCATCATCATCATCATCAGCATCAGCATCATCATCATCAGCATCAGCATCAGCATCATCATCATCATCACCATCACCATCATCATCATCATTTTCATCATCATCATCATCATCATCATCAGCATCAGCATTAGTATCATCATCATCAACAACATCAGCATCATCATCATCATCATCATCATCATCATCATTATCATCATCGTCGTCGTCATCATCATCACCATCACCATCACTATCATCATCAGCAGCAATAGCATCCGCAGCAGCAGCATCAGCATCACCATGAGCATCAGCATGATCATCGTTACAATTATCATCAGCATCATCAATATCATCAGCATCAGCATCAGCATCAGCATCAGCATCAGCATCAGCATCAGCATCATCATCATCATCATCATCATCATCATCATCATCAGCACCCCTCTCCTCTTCGTCTTTCTCCCCCACGTGGTCTCCGAAGGGTCTCCACAACGGCTGGGGAGCACGCAGTCCGACGACTTGGCCGAGCCGTGGCCGCCGCGTTCGGCCACACAATTAGGCTCTCAAGGGAAGGGGGCGGCGGCGGTTCGCCGCAGGCGTCTTGGATAGAGGAGGAGAAGACAGCACAAACATACGTACACTTGTACCCCTACAGGGGGATTTTGGACGAAAAAAAAATCAAAAAATAACCCAAAATAGAAACAATTGCATAAAAAATTGGTCCCCAGACTATTGTTTGACTATTTTTGAATATTCCTCCTGTAGAGGGACAGACCCGACTGAAACGTACACTTTCGGAGGTCCGCGCGCGTCCACCGGACCTGCGCTGAACCCCCCTCCCTGGCGCGCTCGGCCCCGGAGGCGCCGACCGGCGGGCTCGGGCGCAGATCCAGGAAACCCGCGCGGACCCCCGAGTGTGCGCTTACGCCGCCGCTCCCCCCCTCCGACGCTGCGCTTCTGAGCATCGGCGGGGGGGCAGCGGTAGGAAGACGAGCTTCTCCGACGTCGGGGACGCCTGCCCCCCCGGCGGCGGCAGAGCTTATACCCCCCACGGTGCCACGCAGGGGTGTAGACTTTCCAGCCGCCCTGGGTTCAGGCGTCCCCGACGGCGGACAAGCTGACTCTGATACGGCTCGTCGCCCGCCCACTCTCAGAGGGCCGCCACCCCCTCGCGCCACCCCCCTCCCCGTGCTTGCCGCCGAGGTCGGCGAGCGGAGACTGGTGGAGTCGCTGTTCCTGCTCTTGCAGGGGGAGAAGGGCGGAGGAGGGAGGAGAAGGAGGAGCAGGGAAGAGGAGGAGGAGCAGGAGGAGGAGGGAAGAGAGGAGGAGGAGGAGGAGGAGGAGGAGGAGGAGGAGGAGGAGGAGGGGGGGAGGAGGGAGGGAGGGAGGGAGGGAGGGAGGGAGGGAGGAAGGAGGCGGAGGGAAGAGAGGAGGAGGAGGGAGGAGGAGGAGGGAGGAGGAGGGAGGAGGGAGGAGGAGGAGGAGGCCGCGGCCTTCCGATTCCGGTCGCTGTCCATGCTCTTGAAGATGCGCCCCAGCGAGTGGATGCCTCGGCCCCGCGGGAAGAGGCCGCGGCGCGGCCCCTTCCGGCGCGGTGCCCGGGGGAGGCCCTGCCGCGCCGCCGCCCCGCCCCGCCCACGAGTCCCAGCAGGGGGCCCAGGGACGCACACAAAGAAGCACACACAAACCCCAGGATCCCACACAATGCTCAAACATGGACAGAACATCGTCCCCACTCGACTATCTTTGCGCTGTGTCTGAGTCTGTCCCCCTGTAGAGGGACACGCCCGACTGGACACGACTCCCGGGATCCCCCATGTGTTTCTGTATGTTCTGGGTGTTCGTCTTCGCCGAAAGGGGGGGGTAGGAGGCAACTCCTGGGAGGTCTTCGTCGGAAGAATGAGGAAGAAGCAAGCCCAATAGTGGGGCTGCTACGCCGGATTCGGCAGCGGAATTCGCGGGATGAAGCTAGAGTACGCGGGATCAAGCCAGAGTACACGGAATGGAGCAGGATCGAGCGTGATTGAGTCGTAGTAAGCCAGATGCCGGACCAGGACAGAGTCAGAATCTTAGCTCCCAGGAGTTGCACCCGAACGAGGGGGGGACTGTCCTCGAGCCACCCTCTAAGAGTGCCACGTCCAAGAGCACGGTCAAAGGGCGAGGTCCCGAAGCCCACTCGCGGCAGACCGTCCACGCCAGACGGCCGCTCGGCGAAGGCGGGCGGAGGCCTGCCAAAGGAGGGCCAGCAGGGAGAAACAGATGGGCAGCAGGGGCAGCGTGTCGCCGAAGGGGAAGAAGTTGAGGATGCAGGTGATGCAGGATAACGATACAGTGGCGGCTGGTCCACAAGAAGCGCCTTCCACGACAGACCCAACCCTGAGACCCCAGGACGTCCATTGGCTTTGGATGTGGGAACGTCGCGCTCTCCATCGCAACATTACCGAAACCCGAGAAGCCCAGGGCACACTGGAGGCAAGCAGGGTGGTTCTTGGCATGGGTCTCCAGTGTGGGAGCATACTGAGGTGAAACAAATAGGGTGTGTGTGTATGGTTGTGTGTGTGTCGGTGTGTGTGTGTGTGTCGGTGTGTGTGTGTCGGTGTGTATATGTGTGTGTGCGTGTGTCGGTGTGTGTGTGTGTGTGTGTTTGTGTGTCGGTGTGTGTGTTGTGTGTATGTTGCGTGTGTGTGTGTCTACGTGTGCTTCGTACAGATGGAGGAAGAGGTCAAATCATCTCAATGACGACGATGTCGCCAACGAGCAGGCCAGGAAACCAATGTCGTATCATCGCCCAGGGCGCTGCTGCGTGACGGACCCCCTAGTCATTTGTTGATCTTCATCTAGGGGGGATGATACCGTCTACTTCGGGTCTGGCAGCACCTATCTCCACCTGGAGGGTGTATCCTGGGAGAGCTACCTTGCAGAGTCCCCCACTGGAGTTCACCAGTCTTCCAGGACCCCAGGGGGGGAAGGAGAAATGCACATGTTTGGGACCCCCAGGAACCCCAATCCACCGACACACGCTTGCCGGGGTTGGAAAGGCGTGTGAGATGATTGGCTGTCACCCCTCCCCCCTTCCCCCCTCCCCTGGGGGGTGGGGTGGACGAGCTCGCCAACGCACTGGGGGACCCTCGGAGCCGCATTTACCCCCCCGTGGCCGCCAAGATGTCCAAGATACTTTCAAAGATGGCTCCAGAAAGGCTCGAACACGCCACATCGGTTTTTGAATGATTGTCGCGCTCTCGCCTTTTCAGGCGCATGCAAACCCAAAATGGTGCAAACCCAGGACGGCCCAAAAGGCCTCAAAGAGGGCCCGGAAACGGCCCAGGGTACCCTAATACAGCCTAGAAGCCTCCAAGACCACAAGAAAGCCTTCAGAAGGCTTCCAAGAACACCCCAGAGAGGCCCAATGCGGGGAACCCGCATGGAGAACTGGGAGCTCTCTCCCACAAGATGGCCCCCCAGACCCCCAACATGCCCCCAAAAGGCCCCAAGAAGCCCCTAGAGGGCCTCAAGAAGCGCCGTCGTCGTCGTCGCCGCCGTCGTCGTCGCCGCCGCCGCCGCCGCCGCCGTCGCCGCCGTCGCCGTCGTCGCCGCCGTCGTCGTCGCCGCCGTCGTCGCCGCCGCCGCCGCCGTCGCCAGGCGCCGTCCGAGGCACCGCCCCGAGGCGACCCCGGACTCGCGGCCGAGGCGCGCGCCGCCGGAGCCGCCGCGCGTGAGGACGACCTGCTCGGGCGGGGGGGGGGCGCCGGGCCGCCCCCGCGGGAGCGCCCGCGGCACGCCCCGCGGGCGAGGCCCGCGCGGGCGGCCAGGACGACCTTGGCCGTCGACGCGCGCCTCGTGGCACAGCTCGTAGAAGAAGAAGAAGAAGAGGAAGACAAATAATAATAATAATAATAATAAGAAGAAGAAGAAGAAGAAGAAGAAGAAGAAGAAGAAGGCGACATAAAAAGGAAACAAGAAGAAGAAGGAATAATAATAATAGTAAGAAAGAGAATTAATAATAAGTAGAAAAAGAAAAAGAAGATCAAACGTCACAAGCATAAACTTGTGGCGCTCCGCGCGGATTTCTTGGATCTGCGCTGGACCCCCCTCCTTGGCGCACCAGGGGCGGCGCCGGATGCGCCGCCGGGGGGGCCAGCGATGATCCAGCTTATGTTTATGGCGTTTTGTTCTTTAGCTAGCGCAGAGCGCCAAACATTGTGTTTAGGGCCGCGCGGAGCGCCAAAAAAAGTTTTGTTTATGGCGGGTGTTCTTCTTCGAGCTCGGACGTCCATTCCCCGTGTATTGCTTGACTTCGCGCATACATTCTTCGCAGGCTGGTCCAAGATGCTCCCTGATGATCCTCGCCGAGAAAAAAACGTGCACACGTCCGAGCAGTGCCAAGGCCTCGCAGATCTACGTACAGGCACGCGCCATCTGGTTTGCCCTGTGCCTTAGGGATGCTAGCGGCGTGTTAAATCGTTGGCCTGTGGTGGCGCCAAATGCACAGCCACCCTCCGCTGTCCTCGGGTCCTTTGCCTGCACTCGGCCAGGATAGTGCGGATGCGCGATAAGGATGCAAGGGCCTTGGACGCCCAGTTCGAAGCTTTCCGAGCGGGGCGCGGCCAGCGAAAGTGTCCAAGGATGGACCGAGGAGGCAAGGAGGCAAAGGTACCCTTGGGAAGGTTGCCTGTCCTTACTATCGGGGGCGGCAAAGAGGAGGGTGTCCAAGAGGGGGGGGGTGCAAATCATGACCCGCGGCATGTGTGCGGCCCAGCGGGAGGGCCATGGACGTAATGAAATAAGAAGAGGCGCCATGAAATCTGGGGAAATATCATGGCCCCCGCAATGATGTCCACCCCCCCCTAGTCATCACCCCCCTCTTTTCCGTCCCCGATACTATGCGGGTTGACTGCAAAAGACTCTGAGCCTCAGTCCTCGATCGTACGGTCTTTTCAGGGGCCGGGACCCCAACTCCTCCAGTATGCCGGGGCTCCTGGCGTGCCCCCCTGGGGCTCCTTCTTCGGGGCCACGAAGGCACGTGGCCCAGTGGGCCAAGAGGCCTGCAAGACGGTCCCACAGGGCACCGAGTCGACGAGAGATCGTTCCGAGACGGCCTGGATGGCCTCCAGATGGCCTAAGAGGCCTCCGAGAGGCCTCCCAAGAGGGCTCCGAGACGCACAAATCAGTAACTTCCCTTAGATGTTGGAAGATTTGAGCATTGTCCGCCTCTTCGGCGTCCCGACGCTCTTAGACGGCCCAAGAGCTCCCAAGACCGCCCCAACCTCAGAGGCCCTCAAGATGCTCCCAAGATGGCCCAAGAAGGCCCCAAGACGGCCCAAGAGGCGCCCAGGACAGCCCATGAGGCCCCAAAGATGGCTCCAAGAGGGGCGCAGATGGGGGACCCGAACGGACATTTCGAGCCCGCGGCCCCGAGGGGCCTCCAGGAGGCCCCACAGAGACCCCCAAGAGGCGCCCAAGAGGCCCCAGGAGGCCCCAAGAAAACCCCAAGAGGTTCCCGAAAGGCCCGTAAGAGGCCCCGAAGAGTCCCTGGCAACAATCCTCAAGAAGCCTCAAACTGTCCCAAAGAAGCCCAAGAGAGCGCTCCGAAGAAACCCGTGAAGCATCCCTGGGGACTCTGACCCACAATCCAGACACGGTGGCGGGATTGGCCGAAGGCCATTAGGATCCGCCGCCCCCTGTCGATTCATCGCAGGGGTGCCTGGCGTGCCGAATCCTATCGGTTGTTGTTCTTTTCCAAAAGAATTCACCCTGGGGCTTCGGCCCGTTCCGCCGGGGTCCCGAAGGCCGCGTAGACCACCTCAGCGTCCCCACTAAATCCTCCAAGACGGCTCAAGATGGCCTCCAAGATGGCCATGTTGGCCCAAGATGGCCTCCAAGATGGTCCCAGGTGGCCTCCAAGTTCGCCCAAGATGGTCCAAGACGGCCCAAGAGAGTCCAAGACGGCCCAAGAGGCCTCCAAGAGGTGCTCCAGGAGGGCCCGAAGAGGCCCAAATCATTGATGTTCATAAGGTTTTTGAAGGATGTTGGCATTCGATTCTTCTCGGCTGTCCGACGACCCAAGACGGCCCAAGAGGCCCCCAAGATCGCCCCCACAACGCCCAAGAGGTCTCCAAGATGGCCTCAGGACTGCCCAAGAGGCCCCCAAGACGGCCCCAAGAGGGCAAAAACGACCCACGAGACCTCCAAGACGCCCAAGATGGCCTCTAAGACGGCCCTGGAGCACCCCAAGAGGGCCCCCAGTCGGCCCAGAAAGGCTGCCCGAACGGCGTCCGACGACGGCGTCAGACGGGCCAGGAGCCCACCAAGATGGCCGAAGTTGGCTCGAAACTGGCTCAAGGCGGCCCAAGAGGCCTCCAAGAGGGTCTCCACGAAAGCCAGAAAAGGCCAAAAACACTGGTTTTCCGTGGGTGAAGGATTTTGACATGTGCTTCGTTTCGGCCTTCCGACGGCCCGATACGGCCCAAGAGCCCCCAAAGATCGCCCAAAGATCGCCCAAGAGGCTTCCAAGATGGCCCCAGAACGGCCCAAGAGGCCCCCAAGACGGCCCCAAGAGGCCCCGAAGACGGCCCAGGAGGCCTTTAAGACGCCCAAGATGACCTCCAAGACGGCGGAGCATTCCAAGAGGGCCCCAAGTCGGCTCAGAGAGGCTCCCCAAACGGCTTTCGACGGCGTCGGACTGGCCAGGGGCCCACCAAGACGGCCGAAGATGGTCCTAAGATGGCCCAAGATGGCCCAAGAGCCCTCCAAGAGGGCCCCCAGGAAGGCCCGAAAAGGTAAAAGATAGTGATGTCCCATGAGTTTTTGAAGGGTTGTGGCATTTGCTTTTGTTCGGCCTTCCGACGACCCGAGACGGCCCAAGTGCCCCCAAAGATCACCCAAGAGGCCCAAGACGGCCCAGAAGGCTGCTATTGCGCCCAAGATGGCCTCCAAGACGGCCCAAGAGACCTCCAAGACGTCCTCCAAGAAGGCCCGAAAGGGCCAAAATGGCCTCCACGCGGCCAAGACGACCTCCAAGATGCCCACGTGTTCCCCGGAGGCTTTCCAAACCGATTCGGGGAACACGTGGTCCGATGGCTTGGCAGGTCTGGCCTCAACGTTCGGCCACATAGGCGCTTCCCAACAAGGCAGGGGGCGGCGGTGATCCGCCGCAGGCGTCTTCGGTCCGCCGCTCCGTGTGGCTTGCCACAGGGGGTGCCTGGCGCCTGGCGTGCTGGATCCGTTCGGTTTTGGTTTTGGTTCTCTTTCCAAGAGGACTCTCCCCTGGGGCCTCGGCCCGTCCCGCCGGCCGCCCAGGGAGGGCGCCCAGTCTGCCGACAAAAAAATCCAAAGATGGCCACGATGGCCCAAGATGGCCTCCAAGATGCCTCCAAGACGGCCCAAGATGCCGTCCAAGACGGCCAAGATGGCCCCAAGATCCCTCCAAGACGGCCCAAGGTGCCTCCAAGAGGGCCTCCAGGAAGGGCCGAAGGGGCAAACATTGATGCGCCTAAAGTCCCACCAGCCCTCCGGGCGTCGGTGGTTTAAGGAGTTTCCTCTTCCACCCCTCCTTCTTCCCCTTCGGGGAGGGGTTTACCCCTCCCCCTACCCCCTCCCCGCTGACCTGGACAGGGGGTTCCGCGGCGCGTTGGAGCGTCCAAAACGGCCTCGGCGAGGAAGCCAAAATCATTGATTTTACTATGGTTTGGGCCCCATTTTGGCCTTCTGAGGGGGGGGGCTGAAATTTAGGAACCCCCCTTCTTTGATCGATTTCCTCCACGATGGCCGCAAGAGGCCCCCAGGATGCCCCAAGAGGCCGCAGGATGGCCCCAAGATGGCTCCAAGAGGCCCCCCAAGAGGCCCCCAGGAGGCCCCCAAGAGACCCCCAAGAAAACCCCAAGAGACCCCCCAGAGGCACCCAAGGTGCTCCCAGAGGCCCCAAGATGGCCCCAAGAGGCCCCAAGAGGCCCCCAGGAGGCCCCAAAGAGGATTCCGAACGGCCCACAGACGCCCCCCCGAGGCACCCAAGACGCCGAAAAGCCCCTCAGGACGACCCTCTACTCGCCTGGGCGTCGTTTCTGGACGGGCTGGTGGGGATACTTTTTTTTACAGCCGCAGGCGGAAGCGCCAGCGGCGGGCGGTCGCGGGCGGGCTGCGGCCGCGACTAACGGCGGGCGCGCGCGAGGCCGCGGTCAGGCGGCAGGCAGCAGCGTCCCAGGGCGTCAGAGCCAGCGTGCAATCCAGGGAGTCTGCAGAACAGCCCCTGAACGAGACATGCAACGGCGCATCCAGGGAGTCTGAAGACAGGCACCGAGGAAGCCGAGCGCAGCCAAAATGGCGCGTGAGGCGTTCCCAGGAAGGCTGGTGGGAATACGCGAAGCGTCTAGAATTTTTGAAGGATTTCGGCAGTTGCTTCTGTTCTGCCTTCTGGCGGCCCAAGATCGCCCAAGAGGCCTCCAAGACGGAGGCCCCCAAGACGGTCCCAAGCGGGCCCAAGGCGTCCCAAGGGGCCTCGAAGACGCCCAAGACGTCCCAAGGGGCCTCGAAGGCCTCCAAGACCCCCAAAGATGACTTCAAGACTGCCCGAAGCACCCCAAGAGGGCCCCAAGTCGGGCCAGAGAGCCCCTCAAGACGGCCTCCGACGACGTCCGAGGGCAGGAGGCCACCACGACGGCCCCAAGATGGCCCAAGACGGCCCCAGAGGCTCCCGAGAGGCCTCCAAGATGGCCCCAGAGGCCTCCGAG